CTTGTGCCCTGCACACATGCAGAGCTGCCCTGGTGATTTCATGTGCTGACATCACAGCTTGGTTCCCCCTCCCTCATGCTGTCTCCATAATGACTGGGCCAGTAGACTGAGTGGCTTCTTTTTTCCTTCTTCAAATTGCTGGGATTGGTATATAAAATAAGATTGTTTTTAATTTAAATAAAAATTTATATATATAAGTAGTTTCGGTCAAAAAACACATAACACCACTTGACTGTGGTGGTGCATGCCTTTAATCCCAGAATTCAGGAGGCAGAAGCAAGCAGATCTCTGAGTTTGAGGCCAGCACGAACTATAGGGTGAGTTCCAAGATAGTTCCAGGAAAAAAAAACAAAAAACAAAAAAAAACCTGTCTTGTAAAACCAAAAGCAAAACTAACCAACCAAACAAAAAGCCAGCCACACACACAACATAACATAAAATGTCTTTTGTTCATCATTTTAAAAGCAATTGACATTCCAAAGTACTTGCTAGGAGCATGTGATCACCTCTTGGCAGGGAGAAGGAAGTGGTGGAGAAGAAAGGGGAATGAAAGACAGAAAGAGAGAGACAGAGACAGACAGACAGGCCAAGACAGAGAGAGGCCAAGAGCAAGTACCTCTAAGGACCTGGTCCCAATACCTACTTTCTCCAGTAATGCATCACCTCCCAAAATAGCACCACCAGCTGGGTACCCAATATTCACAACACAAGCATGTGGGGGACATTCCACAGTCGAACCATGACAGGGTGAACACATTGTGTGCCTGGTCAGGATGTGTTTTTCCAGCCATCTGCTGTGGATGCCTTGCTGTTTCCAGGAAGTGGTTTTTGTGACTCTGTCAAGGACTCTGTCAGCTGCTATGGAGAAAATTCAAGAGAAGTTCATTCATGGTTGATGTCCAGCCAATCAACAGAAGTCTGTAAGCACCTGTGTCAGGCGGGTCTCTGCTGCCCCCAGCTCTGCTAGTGTGGGACTCTGCACAAGTGGTGTATTTAGGGACATAGCATAAGTAAGTGTGTGTGCACAGCTGTGTGTGTGTACATGCTGTGTGTGTGTGTGTGTGTGTGTGTGTGTGTGTGTGTGTGTGTGTGTGTGTGTGTGTGTTACTTTTTTATTTCTGTGATGACCAGGACCAAGGAAACTTAAAGAAGTTTATTGGAACTTATAGTTGTGAAGTATTAGAGTCTGTGACCATCTTGGCAGCCAGCTAACAGGCATGGTGTTGGAGCAGCAGCCAATAGCTTACATCCTTATCCACAAAGAGGAGGCAGAAAGAGAACTAACTGGGAATACCCTGGGATTTTTGTTGTTTGCTTTGTTTTTTGTTTTTTTGAGACAGGGTTTTGTAACAACCTTAGCTGTCCTGGAACTAGTTCTGTAGACCAGGATAGCCTTGAACTCACAGAGATCCAGTTGCCTCTGCCCCTCCTCCCCTGAGTGCTGGGCTTTTGAAGAATCTGACCTGTACAAGAACCCCACCTTAGGTTATCCCCGTAGGCAAACTACAGTCCTCAAGCCGTGTGTGTGTGTGTGTGTGTGTGTGTGTGTGTGTGTGTGTGTGTGTGTGTGTGTGTGTTTGTTACACATGCCATGCTGGTTATATGGAGGTCAGAGACAGATGTGGAAATCAGTTCTCCTCATCCACCATATGGGTCCCAGAGATTAAACTCCAATCATGATTGTGGTGATATCTTTCTTGCACAAATAAAGTCTGTCTGTACAGACCTCTATGGTTAGTTGGTGGCAAGCTCCATTCTCTGACTCCCAGACAGGTTTTATTTGTGCAAGAAAGATATCACCACACATGATGTGGCAAGTGCCTTTACTTGCTGAATCATCTTTCCAGCACACTTCTTTCTTCCCCTTTTAAATAACCTCTAAAGAAATATGAAAGCCACTGATGCATGCCTGTCCTAAGTAAGGGGTTTGAAGACTATCCAAGGCAAGCCAGACTCTGATAACAGGCAACCTGACAGGGAAAATGCCCTAGCATTCTCAGAATCCTGAGCTGATGGGTCCATGGAGTTCCAGAGGAACACCAGGTTTGCAGAGTAAAGTCTGCCTCTCCTAAATGTCAGACATAGGCACAGGGGGTCCAACAAGAACATCCTGCCCCAACCCAAGAGATCAAGGCTACTGGTCAGCCCTGCTGATGAACACATGGGGGTCACAGCCTGTGCCCCAAGCTGGGTTCAGCCACCCATCACCAATAAGTTAATTCAGAGAGTCAAAGTTATGGTGGGAAACAGAAAAGGGAGATTCATTCAATGTGGCCACATTGGAAGATGGATTTGAGAGGATTGTCACTAAATGTCTTTGTCTCACTTCCAGGGACCTGGGAGAAGGTTCTAGTCAGAGGAGTCATTGGACAAAGGCCAGGACTGGAAAAGAGCAACAGCTGGATCCAGGAAGGCCTGAAGACCAAGAGCCCTGGGACTGAGTGAGAAAGGAGGGGTGGCAGTAGGTAAGATAGAGAGCTGGTGACTGCGTGGTAATTGTACTGCTCAGGTCAACTAGCAGGCACAGCCTAAGGCCCCTACTCCCCTTAGCTGGGTCTTATTCCAGAATTTTCATCTTTGGTCACCCATGTGGCAGGGAGGATATGATGAGTCCTGAGAGTCAGTATTGGTACAAGGCCACCCTGGGCTCCTTCCTGAGGAGTAATTTGTCCTGTAGCAGCTGTTTCCATGGCTAGCTACCTGAGGGATGGGTAGAACCTGGCCAGGTCACCTGAAGATCAGCCATCGGTTCATGTATGACCTGGAACAATCTTCTTCCTCTGGGGGCCTCAGTTTCTCCCATATCCAGCAGGGTGTTGGAAGGCAGGGCCCCATGCTGGTTAGTCTATTTGTGAATAGAGTTCCAAGTTGCAATTGCTTGTGAATACCCCTGTTTACTGTTTCATGGGACACACGGTGGAGGGTGGGTAGGAACTTAGCTGTTGGGGCTTCGTGGGAACCCAAAGAGTTGCACAATGCTCTGGTGGCAGCTGGCTGACTCTAAAACAGTTGTTTTTCACGAACTGCAGCTGGCTGAGCAGCTGAGAGTCAGCCCACTTGGCTTCGAGCAGTCAGGGACCACTCTCCCAAGGCTGGGAGAGGAAGGGGACTGCTATGGCCACCTACACAGGACTCTGGGGTGTGGGGACTAGTCCCTGGCATATGGTGAGCCCTCTCTAAGAGCTCCTGGATATCTCTGGGGGTGTGAGTTGTGTGACCATGACCTCACTGAATACTGAAGCTCAGAGCAGAAGGCCAGTGGGTCAGATCCCAGACAGTCCATCCCTCTGAACTCAGAGATTCCACCTTCAACCTCTGATTTCATATAAAATCCACCAGAGGCCAGAGCAGAGAGTAGTAGGGTAGGAACAGGAAAAGAGGAGATAGGTGGGGAGCACATTGGAGCCCAGGCACCCCTATGTGCCTTTTCACCCAGGAAAACAGTATTAACTTCACTTTATAGCTGGGGAAACTGAGGTAGCCACACCACCTGGTACCAGGTCCAGCTATTGTGGGGGTTCCAGGGGGCTTTGTGGGATCGCAGTGCTAGAACCAGCAGGGGTCCAGGCAGACCCAGAACAGCATAGCTTGGTTGAGTTGGTGTCTGTGAGCCCCTATCTCTCAATTACTATGGGGTGGACAGGAGCTAGAAAGTAGGACTTAGTTGGGGTGCCAAAGCCTGCCTCCCATATCCAGCAGGGTGTTGGAAGGCAGGACCCCATGCTGGTTAGTCTATTTGTGAATGAAGTTCCAAGTTGGGTGGGGATGGACATTGAGGGGAGTCAAGCTTCTGCCCACCATGTGGAAGGTACTAACACATGGTATAAACAGCAGAACATAGTCCTGGGTCTGAAATGTTTATGGTGACCTGTGATGTCTTCATGTCAAGTTCTATACAGAAGCAAGCAAGGACTTTCTGGGTTTGGTCCACTCTGGTGGGAGCTGACAAGCAGGCATGCTGGGAGGGGCAGACACTGTGTGAACTGTACCAGGCTCTGAAGCCAGGTCTGGTCTCTCAGAAGATGCTAGTAGTGGGTGTACTGGAACAAGGGGTGGACAGAAGCAGATAGCCAATGGGCAACTAATACGGGATACAGCAAAGGGTTGGGAAATGCTGGTATAACCCTGTTGTGGTAACTTGTGCTGTGTCTCAAAGCTGAGAGAGTGGCAAGTGGGTTAGCTTTACAAAGTTACTTGTTGCCCCTTTCTTTCTAGTCCTTTATGCCTGGGTATACTCCCATCTTCTCTTCTAGTTAGCCATACATCATGCAGCCATCCATCCTCCACAGCTTCCAAAAATTAAGACATCTGCCTCCAGAGAGCCCCAGTACAAGACACAGATGCTGCCCTGGGTGTTTGAGACTGGGGAACAGGAAGGAGCCCTAGAATGGGTCACTCAAAATGCCTTCAGTTTATGCTGTGCAGACCCTGCCCCTGTAAGCACGTTGAGCTGAAAGGTCCCAGATCCTTCTGAACTATATGGTACAGAGCAGCATGGTTGTGGGCCCCCATCCCCAAAGCCCCACACCAAGCCCTTCTGAGAATTTCCTCTTGGAAAACTTGGGATGTGCCTTACTCCCAGTTACTGTGGGCTGTGAGTAGTATTTATGAAAAGAAAGAAAAAAAGGGGAGGCAGAGAAAGAGCTCCCCAACATGGTGAAGTATGCATGGAAGGGCTTGGGTACTCACTGGGGGCCACATGCCCTTCTAACTGATGTTGTTTCCCACAGCAAAAAGGAGTTGGGTAGTGTCAGGAGTGAGAAGTAAAACCTCAAAGCTAGATGCAAAGGAATGGTCCTCAGAGGCCTGACTTAAGGCTGCTCACAGCATCAGGAAGATCTGCTGTGTTCCATGCCTTTTGTGGTTGACACTGCATATGCCTGGAAAGGCCACTTACAGATCTCCGATTGGCACCAACGATGTACTAGGTGTGGAACCCCATGAAGACCCTGGTCGGTGGGGTGCAAACATCTCTCTGTGGCAGCTATTTGCTTGTAAACTTTAATTTTGTACAGTAGAGAAACATACAGTACAAGCAACATGGGCAGTGGGGGTAATTTTATAGCAAAGCTCACAAATACACTTGAAACACTAGGGAGAACGAAGATGCCCTTGGGAGCCTGCTGGCTGCTAGATGGCAGTCTTCAGAGATGCACCAGAACTGTGTGTGGAGGTGAAGTGGCTCAGTCCTTGCACCTCAGGCAGGTGCCAGCTCCCTCTTCAGCCACCACTTGGTCACCTTGGGAGAATGAGCTCTCAGGATTGGAGACCGTGATCATGACACTCCTTCCTGCCTGCCTGGACCAGCACAGGGCTCAGCTCAGCAGTGAGTGACATACCTGCTCCAAGTCAGGACCCTGGCTTCTCCAGGGTGACAGCTGCAGGGCCTGACCCCCAGGGATGCCAGGTGGCAGGGCAAGCAGCCCCTGTCTTACTATGAGGAAGTGCTGAGGCAGATGGAAGCCAGATGGGGTCAGGAAAGCACTTGTGAGGGGAGAGGTCTAGGCACTGGGACACAAGGGAGAGGAGGTGGGATGGAAGCCAGGAGGGCCTTCCTGAGGGTAGAGGTGGGAAACAGGGGAAGGGCAGACTTCCAGGGAAGTCTCTAGGAGCTTCTAAATCCAGAGAACTCAGAAGGTGACATCAGGAGCATTTGGTTCAGGGGACACTGTGCTCCCTCTATTGGAACTGGAACTCAGGGTTAAGGCTGAGATCCAGGCCCCTGGTTAGGTCCAGCCTCTGACTCAGCTCCAGATGCAGAGAGGAGCCTGTTTGGCCCTTCTGAGGACCACAGCAGCCCTTCGTCCTGACCTCATGAAGGTCAAGACCCTGCCTTCTGCAGGCTTTGGCACGGCACTGGAGGAAGGTAGCTGCTTCACACCACCACCTCAGGAGTGATGCTGAAGAGGAGGTCATCATTGCCCCGCCGCACCTCCAACAGCAGTGGGGATTCACTCAGGACTGCCTCCTGCAGCTCACTGGAGTCCACCAAGGGGCGTCCATTGACTTTGACGATGATGTCACCATCTTGGATGCCTCCTCTGCCAACCAGGAGAAAGACCCTCAGCATGCACATACCCTCAGGGCTCAGGTGGGGCTTACCTGGGCTCAGCAGCAGCAGTTTAACAAAATGATTTTGAGAAGGAACACCAGTGGAAAGACAGTGCATGTGGTGGCCAGTGATGTTCAAAGTGCAGAAGGGGAGCAGGCAGTCTACATGCCAATGAGGCCCCTCTAGATCCCAGAGCCACAGTTCAAAACAACTGATGTGATCCACCCATCATGGCATGGATGAGGCAGAGGCCTGGATGCCAGAGCATGGGCACATTGACACATGGCCTCAACTCACGGTGACCCAATACTTAACATTGCTTTGTTTGTTTGGATTCTTTTTTTTTTTTTTTTTTTTTTTTTGGCTGGGCAGGAGACAGGGTCCCACGTGGCTTAGGTTGGATCTCTATATAGCTGAGGCTGGCTTTGAACTTCCAATCCTTTCAATTCTATTTCCCAAATGCTGAGGGTACACTCTTGTGCTACCATACCTGTACCTAACATTTCTGTAGTTCTTAAAATTTGCTGTGACAAAGTCTCTGGGATGGGGGTCTGCAGAACCATATCCTTTCTACAGATATGAAAACTGAGGCCCCAGCTCCTTCTGGAGACAGGGATGCTTGGAGACAGCCTCTGCTTCATGAAGGAAAGATCCCTCTGCTCCAAGGACAGGCGAGGCCAATGCTCTCAGGGACAGTTCATCCCTCCCATGGCTCAGAAGGGAGGCCAGACTCCACAGCTCCTTGCCAGGAGACTTGTGGGTCACATAAGGTCAGTGAGGAGGCCCAGCCCCGGCACCAACACACACACACCCACACACACACCCATGTCTGAGTGTCAGCAGCCCTCCCTCTGCTGGCCGAGCATACCTCTGAGAAGGTGAGTTAGGAACAACCTCTTGCACGTATATTCCGCTGCTGACCGATGGAAAGTCTGGGTTGGCAGCCTTCAGCTCCTCCACCAAACTGAAAAGGCAGTTCTGTGTCAGCCTCTGCCTTCAGCCCAGCTCCCTGGCATGTGGCTGCCCCTTTCCGCCACCACCCAAGCCAGACAAACAGCCTCCTGTGGGCTCTCAGAGCACCCTGAGCCCCATGAGATGGGGCTGCTTAGCGGCCACAACTGGCCTTGAGTGTGGAGAGGAGACAGCTAGATGGAGGATGGGTACTAAAGGGTGATGCAGCGAGGGCAGGGGGG